ATCAGTCTTGAAGCAGGATACCAATCAAAATTTATAGTACCAAATTTCCGTGAGTCGTACCGGTGCCAAGCCAGTGCGGAAAAGACGAAAATAAGGATCGAACAACAATGTGTCGTACCAGTACCGAACCAGTGATCGTACCAAAATAATAGGATCATACCGCAATTACATCATTAAATTAAATAAAATTTTAGGCCTCATTTCCTCGTCAACTGGTCAGTGTGGAAAAGGCTGCGCGAAGGCTTACAAGCATACCCTCGCTCCACGGTTAGCTGATTCGAAGGCAGCCCCCAAAACAAGCGGAAAACGTGGGCATTGGGAGTGGTAGAAGTGGTTGTCCGTTTATCAAAGATGAAGGGTTAGTACCAGTGGGTGATCAAGGAGAATTCAGAGTCCATCTTGGACCCCCTAATTTTCCCCAACGTGTTTGACGAAAATCCCCAAAGAAATCTATCTAGGCGCTCGGTCAAAGGCCCAATTTTCTCCATTTCGGGTGGTCGAATACTTGTGGCCGCCCGACACCGGTATCGGCTGCTCGCGGCCTGCTTGCTTCCGGAATGTTGAGGCCCGGTACCCTCCTCAGTTTTTCTTGGTGTGCTGCTTCTTTTGGGTCTATGGGACATGACCTTTGACTCTCGGTCGTGACCCTTGTATGTGGGTTCTGCCCTTTGATTGTGAGACGTGACTCTTGCCTATGGGATGTGACTTTTGCCTTTGGGTACCTGTTGGACTTTACCTCTGGGGTACCCGTCGTAACCTTTCTGAAACTGGCCGACCTGGCCTCTTTTGGCTCAGGGACTTGACCTTGAGATTCAAATTTGGGGTCTGCATCGTGAAATGCCTTTCATCTACGTGCCACCGAGGAAAATTTGGACAAAGCTGTGACAACGGTCGACATATTGACTGCCAGCGGAGAACTGCGGCCAATCATTGATAAGGCCCCTCTCAACTTGATCAGTTCGTGGCTGAGCAATTTGAAAAACTGACTAAAGCGGAAGAAGAAAGGAGGAAAAAAAATCAGAAGGAGAAGGAAGAAGAAACATCCAGTTCTAAGAAAGATAGTAAAGAACTGAATGTCCTGATAATGGATGACAACATTGCTATGTCCTGATAATGGATGACAACATTGCTCGATTGGAAAAACATTGAAAGCTGAGAAAAAGAAGAGGGAAGCCTATTTGAAGGTGAAAGCGGAAAGGGAACAACAAGATGAAAAGGTGGAAGAAATCAAAGGGGAAAAACAAAATTGGAATCAGACACTGACGTGGCATCCATGTTCGAACATTTGATGTTGTATCTAGCCCAACATGAAACCAAGTTGGATTGTGTCATTGCGGAAAAGGAACAGCTGAGTGTTGCGCTCTCCGCGATGACCAATCTAGTCAAGGGAAAGAACAAAATAACGAAGGAAGAAGATGAAGAAGATGAGAAGGAACAACCAAAGAGAGAAAAACTGATGAAGGATGTCATGAGAGCCCCACGTCCCCAGAGGCAGAGAATTCAAACAAGAGAGAAAAGGTAAAGATGAAGTTGTCGTTCACCTATACCGGTAAGAAGGGAGAGAACCTTTTGTTGTGGATAGCCAAAATTCAGACCTATTGCTCAACTACCCCAGTTGATGAAGATAGCCAGGTGGCATTCACCACCTCATATCTTGGTGAAGATCCCAAGGCATGGGTAGTGTTGGAAGCGGACACCGCCGGATTTGAGTTTATTAAGGACTGGGCAAAGACATTCTGAGAGAATTTTTGAAGAAAATTAAGGAAAGGTTTTTAGACAAGACCACAACTGATAAGCCTTTTGATCACCTTATTACCATTGGACAGCGACATTGGACCTCCATCGATGCACTATCAAGGGAGGTAGATAAATTGTCGCACGTCCCTGGTCTCAACATGCATGATGATCAGGTGCTCTACATCTACTCCCGGGCACTTACCGAACATATACGGAGTCAATTGGTCGCCGAGGCCGAATCAAGTACACATACCGTCAGTTTCGTGACCTTGCATTGCAGCGGGAGCAAATGACCTCCCAAGTGAAAGGTACGTTTGCCGATGTAGTAAACAGTGGACAACCTAGTGGGACCAGCTCCTTGTCGTTTTTTATAACGAGACGATGGAGAGGTGGCCCCTGGAGGGAAAAGAGGGTGACCAAGCTAGCAGCAGCGAGTTTGGAAAGGGTGATGTCACTGCTGTAACGGCCAGCAAGGGAGGTCAGTACGAAATGGAGTGAAGAAGAAGAGGCTCCGCTCCTCTCCTCGGCATCCTGGCATAGCCTCTGGAAGCGCTAGGAGAAAATGGGAGTTACCCAGAAACTATGGCAAGACCGCATGGATAATGGTCAGTGCCTCAACTGTGGAACAAAGGGACACATTATTGCATGGTGCCCCTTAATTTGGAACCCAAAAGGGAGCAGCTAGTAGGAGTAGCATCTGCTCCTACTGAGCCGGAGGGTTCAATTGATGTTGTGGTGCCGCAAACCCCTTTCAACCCTCCAGCTCTTGCGGCTGAGGATGGCTCTTCTTCGGCCCCTCACCCAGACCACCCTGTGAAAGTCATGTGTTCAGTCACACTGGGTGAGTCCCTGGATGAACTTGGGAGCAGACTCATTTCTCTACGAAGTTCATCGGCTAAAAAGCAAAGTCTAAGGGTGAATTGGTGATCGCGAATCTGGAAATTGCGAGGACATGAGTTGGTGCTTTGCTTGATCCAGGATCAACAAGGTCATACATTTCTGCGCAAGGGATAAAGAAGCATCACTTGTGAATGAAGGTGAAGGACCTACCCAACCCTATCGCGTCTATCCTTGTTGATCATAGTACCATCATTGTGTCCTAATACATACACAAAGTGAAATGCCACTTCAGGACAAAGGAAGGAAATAAAATATTGCATGCAGTAACATTCCTCGTGGAGAACAAGTTGTCGTTTGCTAAGAATCCCCCCCGGCAGTGGCCATGAGCGGCCGAGGCCGTGGCTGAATTTTAGGCCGCGACCCCGCGGCCATGGCCGCAGGCCAAGACCATTAAAAAAAAATAATAATAATAGAAAAATTCTGGAAAACAAATATGTTATGCTGAAAAATAAACTGAACAACTTTTGCCTTGTGGTCATACCCAAAAACTTCACAAAATTTGAAATAAAAAAACACATAAATTTCATAGTTTTCCTTAAAAAAAAAAACAAAAAAACAGCTTTTGCCTCTGCAAAATTACTTTTTTTATTTTGGAAATTCAAAGACGTAGTAAAAAAAAAATAAAAAAATTGCGCAATGTAGATCTCGAAAAGATCTACAACATCATATTTTAATTTTATTTTTTTTAATTTTTTTTTAACTCTCAAAAAATTATTGAAAGTCGCGGCCGCACCCAACCGCGGGTGGAGGGGCGGCGGCCGCGATCAAGGTCGCCCGCCGAGTTTGACCCCGCAGCAGCGGCCACGAGTGATACATACGTCGTTTGATTTGATTTTGGGAATGGACTGGCATGAGGTAGCTGACCCCAAATTCAAGTTCAAAGATAAAATCGAAGGATAAAAAACAAAAGTGAAGGAATTAAATCAATCACGATGTTTCGTAAGTCTAGATCAGACTCATCATTGTCTTTCTATCGTATAAGTCTACCCGCTTTTCAAAGTATGGTAACGAAGAAGAAGTTGGCACAGGAAGTGATGATGGTACTCCTGAAGAATGTGGGTGTGTTCTACTTCCTTCCCTCCTATTGAGAAACTTCTTAATGAATATAAGGACCTGCAAACCGAACCAACGGGAATAACTGAAAGAATTATGAAGCACACAATCGAGATTATTCCCAACAGTATCGCCGGGGATTCAACGTCATGGTCAAGACTTGAHGAGCTCGACCCGCTGACATTTGCGGACGTCCAATGGATGCCCCTTCCCCGGTCCGGTCGATTGTCGTAACCGCATTGCAACGTGCTCATGGCACAATTGTGGGATTACTTGCACACTGCAGCACGCCGGAGTAAAGGTTGTCGACCTTCACACCTACATTGGGAAGATCGACCGCGAGTTCAAGACACAACGGTACGACGGCATCGACGCACCATTGTTGCATGTACGCATTCAGATCGGAGAGGCGACCTACAGCGCTTTGATCGATTGTGGAGCATCTCGCAACTACTTGAGCCAAGACTTTATGGTACGCGCCGGCCTTGGCCCATGCGTCCGGAGGAAGTCCCAGCCTACGCAAGTCACACTGGCGGACAGTCACACGCACAAGTCAACCTGTGCATAGATGACGTCCCCATGTACTTTGCCCCGCATGCAAGCGAGGCGGTGTCCTTCGATATTTTGGACACCAAATTCGACATGATCTTGGGCATGTCATGGCTGCGAAGCGAGGATCACTCGATGAACTTCTACCGCCGCACCGTTCACGTCCGTGATCGGAACGGAGTACTAGTCCCATGCACGGTAGCTCCTCCTCACCCTTCGATCAGCTGCCACGTGGTGTCCGCCGCAAGCTTGCGAGCTTCCATCATCAGAGACGACATCGAGGAGATGGGGGTGTGTTTTCTCCACGCCCTCCCGCCCCATGACGCTTCATCGACGGACTCATCTTCGGACCCACGCATCATCGAGTTTCTCGACGCCTACGACGACGTGTTCGAAAGCCCACACGGAGTAGTACCGGATCGGCCCATCTGCCACGAGATCATCCTCGAGGACGGGACTGTACCTCCGCGCGGTTGCATCTACCGAATGAGCGAGGAAGAGTTAAGTGTGCTACAGGATACTCGGCGACCTTCTGGAGAAAGGCTGGATTCGGCCTAGCTCATCGCCATACGGTGCTCCCGTTCTCTTCGTTCGGAAGAAGAACAAGGATTTGCGGTTGTGCATCGATTATCGCAAGCTCAACGCGCAAACGATCAGAAACGCCGGGCCCTCTTCCACGCATCGACGACCTTCTCGAACGGCTGGGCGGCGCCAAGTTCTTCTCCAAGCTCGACCTCAAGTCGGGATATCACAAACTCGAGATTCGGCAGGAGGACCGCTACAAGACCACGTTCAAGACGCGATATGGGAATTTTGAATGGCTGGTTATGCCATTTGGCCTTACGAATGCCCCGACCACTTTCCAAGCGGCTATGACAATGGAGTTCCGACACATGCTGGATCGATTCGTACTTATCTACCTCGACGACACATCTTGGTGTACAACCGGAGTTTGGACGAGCATGTGGAACACCTGCGCACCGTTTTGGAGCGGCTACGACAAGCCAAGTACAAAGCCAACCGCGACAAATGCGAATTCGCGCGGCAGGAGCTGGAGTACTTGGGACATTATGTGACGCCGCATGGCATCCGTCCGCTTGCGGACAAGATCGAGGCCCTCCGCGTATGGCCCGAGCCCACCAACACCACGGACGTTTGTTCATTCATGGGGTTGACAGGCTACTATCAGCAATTCATCACCAGATACTCGAGGATTGTCGCACCTATGACGAGATTACAATCACCACAAGTGCCATTCGTATTCGATGACAACGCACCCCGGTCATTCCAAGCACTCAAGACGGCCATGAGCATGGCACCCGTCCTTAGCATCTATGACCCCACTCTGCCTACAAGAGTGACAACTGACGCTTCCGGCTATGGCATTTGGACAGTCTTGGAACAACACGACGGCGATGACTGGCACCCTGTGGAGTATTTCAGCCACAAAGTGCCTCCCATAAACTCGCTTGATGATGCAAGGAAGGAGTTGCTCGCGTTCGTGATGGCTCTCAAGCGATGGCGTCACTTCCTCCTTGGGCGTCGAAGGTTCACATGGGTCACGGACAACAACCCATTGACCTACTACAAGACGCAGGATACGGTGAGCAGCACGATCGGACGATGGATGTACTTCATCGACCAATTTGACTTCACACCGAAACATCTCCCCGACCTCTCCAATCGCGCAGCAGATGCACTCTCGCGAAGACCTGATCTTTGCGCTATGAAACATCATGCCTTCGCATTCGACGAGGAACTCCAGCAACACTTCATCCGGGGCCATGAGTCGGATCCAGACTTCGCCACGTTGTATGCGCAACTATCTTCGGATCMCCCGCCAGCCAGCCACTATCGCATTGCCGACGGGTACTTGCTCCTCCACTCGAGAGGCAAGGACTTATTGTGTGTCCCATGAGACCGTCGTCTTCGGACTCGCCTTCTCGGGGAGTACCATGACTCGCGACTCGCCGGCCATTTCGAAGTCAACCGCACTATTGCACGGCTTCGACAACGATTCCGATGGCCCGACCTCATTACCGATGTCACTCGGTATTGCGACTCTTGCGAAGTTTGTCGACGAAGCAAGCCCCGCAATTGCAATCCCTACGGCGAGTTGCGCCCGATGCCTATCCCATGGGAACCCGGCCTCTCCATTGCCATGGATGTCACCGGACCAGTTCCCCGCGATTGCCTCGGGCACGACGGCATCCTCACGGTTGTGGACCGTTTGAGTAAGTATGAGTGTTTTCTCCCTTGCAAGTACTACTCCACGGCTTCCGAGCTGGCACGCCTCTTGCACACCGGTTGGATTTGCGGCCACGGTGTACCGGAAGACATAGTCAGCGACCGCGACACTCGCTTCATGTCGACATTTTGGACTGCTCTCATGCAGGAGTCCGGCACAACAATGAAACCAAGTTCGGCTCGGCATCCACAGACGGACGGGCAAACGGAGCGGGCACATCAAACCGCTCAAATGATGCTTCGTACGCTCATCCGTCCGGACCAGAAAGATTGGGTTGACCGCCTCCCCGACATCGAGTTCGCCTACAACACTTCGGTGCACCCGGCGATCGGCGTGACTCCATTCGAGTTGCACCACGGTGGACGGAAAGGCCGTATCTTCGCCGACCTTCTCCTCCCACGACCAGCCGACATCGACGCCGCTTGCTCTCCTGCTTCCGGCCGAAAGTACAAGGAATTGTTGGCTCAAGCCCGCGCAAATATGCAAAAGGCTCAAGTCCGCATGCAGCAGCAAGCCAACAGGCGTCGCGTGCCATGTCCCATCCGTGCCGGTGATCTGGTTTGGGTCTCTCCGGAAGAGTTTGCATTGGAATAGGATGTTTCACGCAAACTGCTTCCCAAGTGGTTTGGACCGTGGCCCGTAACATCAGCCGAGGGCGATGAGCCCGATGGCCCTTCATTTGTGATCAACATTCCCCGCGCATCTGATGGTCCATCCAGTCTTTCACGCCTCGAAGCTGGCAACATATACGCCAGCTAAGAGCTACGACTTCCCGGGCCGACGATCGCAGGACCCTCCTTCTATGGATGGTCATCAGGAAGTTGACCGCGTCATCACGGATCGCAAGTACGGCAGCAAGCCTCGACAGTACAAAGTGACATTCAAAGCATGCGATCCCGACGACACTCGGTGGATTTCAGGAACAGATTTGAAAGCATCCGCGCCGATGATCTACGCTCACTACGAGCGACAAAGGTTAGCTCAGGGACCTTCACGACCTGCCCCTCCCACCCGGACTGTGGTCCCTCCCTCAGATAGACAGCTTCGCCCTCGCAGGTAAGCTCGGTCTTTCAAGGAGGGGGGGGTGTGGCATACTGCGTAGCCACACGGGCCTGCAGGGCCCGTCCCGCATTCTCAGCCTAAAAGCCTAGGAATAAGGGCTTACAGGCCCCTGTCGTTTCAGCCTGAAAACTGAAAATGAAGGCCTGCAGGCCCTATTTCGTTTTCAGCCTAAAACAGGGCTTTTCAGCCCTGAGGGTTTTCAGCCTGAAACGGAGGGCCACTTTCGGGCCCTCATAAGATCGACCTACCCTAACTCTCAGGCACAAAACCAGGGTTTCGGGAACAGGCTATCTTTAGCCTGTTCCCACGACAGCCTCAAGCAGGAGCTGCAGCGGCAGCGCCCGACTCCCTTCGGCATTGGCAAGAGCAGCCTCCTGGACTGCCTCGCCCTGCAGTCAGGAGGCAGGCCGAGTAGTACATAGGGAGTTCCCATGCACTTCACGGGTAGGTAGTTGGACAGAAGGCAGGAGTAGTGTTCAGGATTCGGCCGCAGCACTCAGGAGGAGCGCTGCAGGGAGTAGCTTAGCGCTAGCAGTAGTCTTCAGCGCTGGGCGCTAGTAGGTGGTAGTAGTAGAGTTGGGAGAGATGGCTGGCGGAGGCCAGTGGGACTTACCTCTGGTGCCATAGCTCCAGCTCCATCTTCGAGGTACCTGCAGCAAGGCGCCAACTTCACAGGTTAGTACCGGACTGAGAGAGCGAGAGAGAGAGTTCTTCTTCTTCCTCTTCTAAGTCCACCATCTCTTCTTCCCCTCTCACCACCTGACTTCTCAGTATCAGCGGACTACTACAGAGAGAGAGAGTTGTGACTTGAGACTTGACGACATTGGATCCAGACTCGACATTGGGATTCAGACCTTTTGACGAGGGACTATTTGGGCCTGTGCCGAAGACTTGTTGTTGACGACATTCCCATCTTCCCCTCTTCTTCGTCTAACCCCCTCTTCTTCGTCTGTGTATGGTTGGGGCTGGCGCATTCTTCCTGTGTGAGCGCCAGACCCCTTCACACCATGAAATGATGATGATGATGTATGTTCAGGGCTGCATTGCAATATTGATTGTTCGGATCATTGTTATCTAAGTTTTCCGCTGTGCTATCTTGTACTTTGTATTGAGAGGTCGGTTCTTGTTCTGGTCTGCAGCGTTACAGTATGCAACACTTTGTCTCCAGGAGGTCAACATTCAGTCCTGCTATGCTGCCTCGACGCTGGCTTGACTATAGCTGGACGCTGGCTTGACACTGGCTGGACGCTGGCTGTGGACGGCGACATGGGACTGTGGCAGCATGCTGGCGCCTTCTCTGCTGAGCGCCAGCCTCTGCCACCTGTCTACATCACTGAGGTGGCGCAGGCCATTTGTCTTCATTGATGATGTGGCATACGCCACCTGTTTACAGTGCTGATGTGGCACAGGCCACCTGTCTACATTGTTGATTTGGCGCAGGCCACCTGTCTTCATCGTTGATGTGGTGCATGCCACCTGTCTCTATCATTGACGTGGCACTGGCCAAGCTGTCTACATGAGGTGACTGGTTCAGATGAGGAGGGAGGTCGGGATCTGTGGATGATTGGGATTTGGTACTCACCTGAGGTTGACGTCGATACCGTGAAGTGCTGTTGTCTTCATTGTCTCCATGAGATGGTAGTGCCACGTGGCACTCCTATGTGATCAGGACTTGTCAGACTTGTTACTGTGTATTGATTGATGGGGTGGAGGCAAGAGGAAGCCCGGAGAAGGAGTGGGAATTGATTGGGCTACTCTTGTGTGGTTATTGATTACCTCTTCCACCCGCTCCTCTGTCTATTCCCCCTCCACTCTCTTCGTCTATTAGTAACAAGACATTTTATCAGACATCACTTCACGTTAACTGGAGACTTTGTGCAGATCTGAGACTACTTGTACTTCAACGTCTGATGAGTATCTTCCAGTCCGAGCCTGTTTTTGCCGACCCTGAATTATAGTCCGCGCCGAATTTGCTGAGCCTGTCCCGTGGTACCTTTTGATTTTGGTTGTTTTTTTTGTCTTCTTGGATTCGGTAACGTTTCCACTTGTGGCGTACTCGGCCTCCTGTACGGTTTGACGAACGGACACACGTTAGGGCGGGGTCCCTGTGG